CATCCTAGCAGATTATTGCTAAATTAGCTAACATATATCCCAAAGATGAGGATGCGCCTGCTGGTGGAGTGGATGACATGACAAAATTATCATATCTGCATGAGCCTGGAGTCCTTCAGAACTTGGCAACAAGATACCAACTGAATGAAATATATGTAAGAACGATATGAATATTTAATCAAGAAATGAATTTGATTGTATCTGGGCCAGTAAGTCGGCATTTCAATTTCTTTTAGCTATGGGCAGTTCTGCTGTAATAATATTTTTTGCCTGATATTATTTTTTTCAGACATATACTGGTGGCATTCTTATTGCCATTAATCCATTTCAAAGGCTTCCTCACTTGTATGATAGTGGCATGATGGAGCAATACAAGGGAGCCCCGTTTGGGGAACTTAGTCCTCACGTGTTTGCTATTGCCGATATGGCTTTCAGGTTAAAAACAACAAACATTTTACTGCAGTTTTCTTATTTCATTTTCAGTTATTTTTTTTTTTTTTTAACTTTTGTTTAAAGATCACTCAACTCATGTCTAAATCTTTAATGTTGAATAAGGGCAATGGTTCATGAGGGAAAAAGTAACTCAATATTGGTGAGTGGAGAAAGTGGTGCCGGTAAAACAGAAACCACTAAGATGCTTATGAGATACCTTGCTTATCTTGGTGGCCGTAAAGGAACCGAAGGTCGGACGGTAGAACAACAAGTTCTTGAGGTAAAAGAAAAACATGTCTTCTGGTTTTTACTGTTTCATGGTTGAACTTTCTGTCGGTAATTCTCCATTACTTGTGTATTTTAGTTTTATATAATCTTACAAGGTACTTACGGAAAACACAGCGACGTTCATTCATGAAACTTGTTTCAAATCTTAAACATTCTTACTGAACTCCCACTGGTGTAGCTTTCATGAATATTATTATTATTATACCTTCACCTCTGACACATATATAATCCTTTTGGGTGTTCTAATGCAGTCAAATCCAGTTCTTGAAGCATTTGGAAATGCAAAAACTGTCCGAAACAACAATTCAAGGTGAGCATTTGGGTTCTATAGTTCTTTTTATGCTCCTGATCTTATAACAATTGTTTATAAATTTTACAATCTTGGTACAGTCGTTTTGGCAAATTCGTGGAAATTCAGTTTGACAAGCATGGAAGAATATCTGGAGCAGCCATCAGAACATATCTTCTAGAGAGATCTCGTGTCTGCCAAATTTCAGACCCTGAACGCAATTATCACTGTTTCTACCTCCTTTGTGCAGCACCACAGGAGGTAATATACTTCCTTCAAACCAGCATTTCAAGAAAATTCGGCAAATTTTGTTATATTCGTCAATTTTGTCTGAGTTGTTTATGTCTTATCAGGAAATCGAGAAGTATAAGCTGGGAAATCCAAAAACATTCCACTATCTGAATCAATCCAACTGTTTTGAACTCGTTGGTATTAGTGATGCCCATGATTATTTGGCTACAAGGCGTGCCATGGATATTGTTGGGATAAGTCAAAAGGAGCAGGTAAAACCGTAAATCATCTTTACCTTTTTGTGCTAATTTTTGGATGGTACTATAAGCTTTTCTCAAGGGGTCTAAAGTTTTTTTTCTCTCACTCGTCAGGACGCAATTTTCAGAGTAGTGGCAGCTATTCTCCATCTCGGTAATATTGAATTTGCTAAAGGGAAGGAAATTGATTCATCTGTTCTGAAGAGTGATCAGGCGAAATTCCATCTTCAGACAGCAGCCGAACTTCTCATGTATTCTTGAACTCCTAATTTCACATTAAGTACTATTTACAAGGGAATTGTTATCTAATTATTTTCTTCCCTTTTTTTTAAGGTGTGATCTTAAAGCACTTGAAGATGCATTATTGAAACGTGTGATGGTCACTCCAGAAGAAGTTATTAAGAGAAGTCTCGATCCTGATGGTGCACTAGTTAGTAGAGATGGTTTGGCTAAAACAATTTATTCTCGTTTGTTTGACTGGTATGATAATAGTGTTTGGTGGTTCGTTTGGTATTTCTGGGTTTTTATTGGTTTGGTCAATTTGACTCCAGAATTGTAAAAATATACAGGTTGGTGGACAAGATAAACAACTCGATTGGCCAAGACCCAACTTCAAAGTCTCTAATTGGAGTTCTTGATATATATGGTTTCGAGAGTTTTAAAAATAACAGGTAAGCATTAGTTGATAACACTGGCAAGTAATGTCGAATCGAATCAACCTTATTTTTGTGTTCGGACGAGCTGATTATATTTTTGTTATTAGTTTTGAGCAGTTTTGTATTAATTTCACGAATGAAAAGCTGCAGCAACACTTTAATCAGGTAGGTGATTGACATTTTCTTTTTAAAGCATTAAAATGTCCATATAAAAAAATCGCGTGCTGAAATTGTATAAATTCGTATTTCAGCATGTGTTCAAGATGGAGCAGGAGGAATACACGAGAGAAGAGATCGATTGGAGCTACATAGAATTTGTTGATAACCAAGATGTCCTAGATCTTATTGAAAAGGTGGCTTAATTAAATTGAATTAAATTATAAGTTGTTTTATTTAATTGTCAGAGTTTGTTCCTTTGTTATTCTTAAGATTATTTTCATCATCACTATAGGACTTTGCTAAATCAGTATTTATATTTCTTGAACTTCAGAATCCGGAACACTCTGCTTCATGAAGCTCAATAAATTTATTCAAAATTTACTCTGCCTAAATATGCATCTGTATTTTCTTATTGACTACACTATTTAATTACGAATTATTTTCAACGGCCCTTGCAGAAACCTGGAGGTATCATTGCCCTTCTTGATGAGGCCTGGTAAGGTTCATTTTCTGTTTCAATTACCTTGCGAGTGATGATTTATTTATATTTCATTTTTATGACCCTAACCTTTGTTTTTGTTTTTTTTTGTTCTGTTTCCAGTATGTTCCCAAAATCGACACACGAGACATTTTCGAACAAGCTTTACCAGACCTTCAAAGTTCACAAGCGTTTTATCAAGCCAAAATTGTCCCGTACGGATTTTACGATTGCTCATTATGCTGGAGAGGTATTGGATCTACAGTTAGTCCCAAAGGCTCAATCATCTGTAATTTTTGTTTCGGTTAAGATTTTAAACAATCATTCTAATATGCCCCTCTCTAGGTCCAATACCAATCAGACCAATTCTTGGACAAAAACAAAGATTATGTTGTTCCCGAACATCAAGACTTGTTAAGTGCTTCCAAATGCTCGTTTGTAGCAGGACTATTTCCTCCACCACCTGAAGAGACAACAAAATCCTCTAATAAATCTTCTAAGTTTTCATCAATAGGGTCTCGCTTTAAGGTTTATCTGATTTCTTCCCTTAGTTTTTTTTTTTTTATCGTAATTTTTTTTTCTGATCGTAATTTTTTTCTTATATACTATATAAAGGTCGAAGCTTTTGAGGTCCTAAGGTTGGATTAATTGGTGCAGGTGCAACTGCAACAGTTGATGGAAACCCTGAATTCTACAGAGCCTCACTACATCAGATGTGTGAAGCCTAATAATCAGCTCAAACCTGCTATTTTTGAGAATGTCAACGTCATGCAGCAACTTCGTTGTGGTGTAAGTTCATATGAGTTTGCTGCTTTACGAGCCTTTTATGATTAAGAAAAAAAAAATTGTCAAATGTGCAAAGTGAAATCATATATTGTTTTTAATTGATAGGGTGTTTTGGAGGCAATTAGAATCAGTTGTGCCGGTTATCCAACTCGCAAGACTTTTTACGAATTCCTCCATCGATTTGGTCTTCTGGCACCTGAGGTCTTGGAAGGAAAGTAAGTACAAACTTTTTCTCTTTATTTTTATGAATGTAAGTGCATGTAGTAATTTCGATTAACGTGACAATTTCATCTATCTTTAAAAAATAAGCAGCAATGACGAAAAAGTTGCGTGCAAAAAGATTTTGGACAAGATGCGCCTTGCAGGAGCTCAGGTAATTTTTCTTTTTCTTCTTAAAATTATTTTATTATTATTATTATTATTATCCTTTTATTATTTTCTGTGTCTTGCTTCTGGTGAAAGTTTGTCAAAGCAAAAAATCATAGTCTGATTATTTTGTACACAATTTGCAGATCGGAAAATCGAAGGTTTTCCTGAGAGCTGGCCAGATGGCAGATTTGGATGCTCGTCGGGCACTAATACTTAGTAACGCGGCAAAGACCATACAAAGAAAGACCAGAACACATATTGCTCGAAAACACTTCCTTGCCTTGCAGAAGGCTGCAGTTTGCATGCAATCCACTTGTCGAGGTTCGTTTATATGAATATGACCCTCTTTTGGCTTTAATTGTTAGAAAAACACTCACTTTTGTTTCTCCTTTTGTGTGTTTCACCAGGAAGGCTTGCTTGCAAACGATATGATAATCTTAGACGGGAAGCAGCTTCCATTAAAATTGAGACAAAGTGGAGAGGACACTTGACGAGGAAGAACTACACGAAGCTCAAGGACTCGGTTGTTGTTCTGCAAACGGGCTTGCGGGCCATGGCTGCCCATATGGATTTCAGATATAAGAAACGAAGTAAAGCAGCTACTTTAATGCAGGTGATAATAATCAACTGTGTTTGTTCAAACAATGAATAATATAATATGCTTATATATATATATATATATATATATATATATTTTGGGGGTCATTTGAGTTGTCCCATAATATAATATGCTTATATATATATATATTTTGTCAGGCCCGGTGGCGTGGTCATAGGGATCGGTCGTACTACAAGAGACTCATAAAGGCATCGATTGTGACACAATGCAGATGGAGGGGAAGAGTTGCTAGGAGAGAGCTTCGGAAATTAAAAATGGTAGGCCTTGATATTTTTTTTTTATTTTTTTTTTACTTTTATTACTTTTCTTTTTTTTGCATGTGTGCCTGTAAATTACAAAATTAGCCTCCATGTTTATGCTAATTATTTAAAAATGCAAATAAATAATAGTCCTTGGGTTTGTATTTTGCTTTAAATACCTCCTTCGAAAATATAAACATATGTTAAGGGGATATATCTTATTTTAAAGATAAATGTTATTTTTGTTATTTATTTTTTTCTTACCAAAGGCTAAAGCCTGAAAGATGGTATTGTAATTTGCTGAACCAACATCATTGTTTTTCATTTACTTTACGTTAAACTGCACAATTGTGAGAGATGTCAAATATTTGCAGGCCTCAAGAGAAACTGGTGCACTTAAAGAAGCAAAGGATAAGCTAGAGAAGCAAGTGGAAGACCTTTCACTACGCTTGCAGCTAGAAAAACGCCGCAGGGTAAATAAACACTTTCACAACTT